AAGTTTGTTCTTTCTGATTTGCTTGTCAAAATTTGTTTATTGATTTTTGTTCAAATTAATTTACAAATATTCTGTGTGATTGTTATAATTTTTTTATGAATATTAATTAAAATAAATTCAGTTACTTACATTTTAGTCTAGTTTGTTATGTGGTGTGAAAATAGTGTTCCAATAGCCGCTGAACAATATATGCAATTACCGTACGCTTTACTTTTTAAATTAACATATTTGAATTGTTAAGGGTGAATTAGTTGTGCTGTAAAAAATCAGCTGTTTCATTTCACTTTATAGAAAACAATACGTTCTATTCGTGTTAAAGTGAAAATTAGGGGAATAAAAAGGGAAATAAAATAAGGGATATGCGTAAGCATAGTGGTAATTTTAACAGCTGATTAAAAACATTGAGTAATTGCATTACTTATCTCTGTGTACAAATTAGTTGATGATCGTATTGGACTTGTGTTGTTTGTGTTTTTATGCTGTTTTGCTTTGTGCGTGGCCTTTTATAAGTTATTATCTTTTTTGCGTGTGCCATTTTGGGTATATTTTCTACGTTCGCTGCTAATCATAATTTATCATAATTTATTATAAATTTTTAGTCATACGATAATGTGTTAAAATTCATTTCGATGTAAAGCAAATAATAACAATTCTAAGCAAATTAACGTTCGAAACAAATTCATTATATTTCAATTGTTTACATTTCGAAGCGCTTGGAGTGAGGTTATGTGACAAGTTGTTTCTGCATTTGTTGTGGATGTGCAAGTGGATTATGTGAAAGCCTTCATAATCATTGCCATGGTTTTGTAATTTTGGTATTTATATTTCATAAAATTTCTTAGTTTTCCTTTAAGTGTGCATTTACTTGTATTTTATTTTGTTAGTAGCTGTACCTATTCCAACGGTGTCTAATGTAAATGACATATGCACCAGCAAACCAAAATAACCATCAAACTGTTTTCGACTTGCTTTCGAGGAAGTGATGTATTAAGAGCAAAAAATGAAGGAAACTATGGCATCAAATGAAAATACCTTGCTGTGGAAGTGGCAGTGGAAACCGTGGATAACGTGCAAGTGACACTTTGTTTCCTTGAGCGTCACGTTTTGCCTTGGTTGATGTTTCTGGTTGTAGTCGCTTTTCTGATCCATGTAATATGCTTTTTATATTCATCTTTGGACTTACGCTTTGCTCTTTTTTTCCACACGAATATAAAATTCATGGTAAGAATATTTTACTCATCTCTGGCAAATGCTGATTTATAAGTTATTTATTATTTTTCAAACATATTTTCATAATGTCAGCGTATTGACATTTTGCTAACAAGTATAGTTGAATGCTTCCCTGAATATTTAAAATTTCAAACGGTGTATTTGTGGTTGCATGTACGCACAATTAGTTTAATGTTTTAAAAAAAAAAAATTAAATTCCTTACAATATGATTCAATGATATTTTAGATGTGGTACTTTTATTTAGATCGCATCTTGCTTATCCTTCATCTGTTTGCCGAATCCCAAACGCGCTTAGACACTCCTTAGAATCTGTATATGACTTGTCAATCTTTATAAGTAAGTCGTTAAACTTCCTTTTATAGTAGAATTTGTTTTAAATAATTTTTGTTTCAGTTAAGCTAATGATTAAATATGCAGTTATGCATTGAACTTTACATTCAAATTTGGTAAATTTAATTAACAAAATAAAGTTGCATTTAACGATAGTCTTGTATGTAGAGATCAAGCGATAATTGTTAAAAAAATATGTCTTTTTGATATAATAAATGTACGAGATTTGGTAGTACTTTGCATATACAAGTCTATTAATATTCATTAGAAAGATACATATATATCTGTCGAATATAAATACTCAGTAATTGACAATTAAATTGAATAAAAACTATAAGATTAAATTAAATAATAATACCATCAAAACACATACGCTATCGTTGATCGGGCTTGAGATAACAAAGATTTTCAGTTAAAACTTAAATTCATTAATTAATAATTTCTGTAACTTGTAAAGTTTTTTAAATACTTGACTATATTTTTGATTTATTATTTCAGCCATTTTAAATATCAATTCTTTACAAAAAGACATTGCACATACAACTGTTCAAATCAATTATTAGATTTGATTACTTTTTTAATTATTTTATTAGATAAGTGATTTCAAAAGAGAGTTCTTCTATAAAGTAGAGTTATTGGTATTTTTAGTATTTAAATTACTTGTTCATTGGTAGATTAGATTAGTTTGCGAGTGGATATTAACACATTATGAGCGGCTAGTTCAGAAGACACGTAGCTGCGAGGAATATTATTGGTTAAAATATAGATGGACGGAATTTTTTCTATCTCACTTTACTATCTTTGAAACTTAGTGAAATATTTGATACAACATTATTTTTCCCTTGTATCACTTAAAATTACTTATTTTAAATGGGTACTAATACCTGTCCCGCTTATAAGTGTCAATCCTCGCAACGGGTCCAAATACCTGCCCCGCTCATAATGTGTTAACACTTCAAATCGGAATTATCTATTACTAATTGTATTATATTCAAATTGCAAGTGAGAAGCGAGCTACTCTAACCGTTATTTGTATTGTAACTCTATGTGCCATCTTTGTTAAAATATATGATTTTTCAGATGATGTTAATGTGATCCAATAAGTCAACCTTCACCACTTTTATCGGCAAGGAAACGGAAAGAAGATATAGAAAGTGATTGATAGATTCCACCTAATTTTTATGACAATATCTGCACAGTCTGTTTGGTGGAATACGCCACCTTTAAAGCACTAGTTCAGTTAATTTAGTTCATATAATCTAGTACATAATCTAGTTCATATAATCCAAATGACCTCAAAGACTTTCAATCTAGTCTTTATGGTGTGTTTAAATCCGTAATATTGCTAATTCTTATTCTATTTAATCTAGGCCATTTAATTTCAGTGATTTTAAAGACTTTCAAACTAGCTTTTATGGTTTGCTAAAATCTGAAAGATTGCTAATTCTTATTCTAATGAATCTAGGCCATTTAATTCAAATAAAATCAAAGACTTTCAAATTAGTCTATAAACTGTCCTATATTGCAATAGTGATGTGGTATATATTTAGATATCAGTCTCAATTAGGTTTATAAGTTCAGTGATTATGTTTGATTTACAACAGATTCCTTTTGTTGAAGGCTGCTTTGTTCGATGATTTTTAGAA